ACAATCTCGTCAAAAGATGCGAAAGAAAGGTTGAGCCAATGATCGCCAACGAATGAAGGACCACAACACCTCTCGGTCCTGGCTCGCCATGTAGGTTGTCAATGGGGAACATAGTGCAACTCATCTATGAACGTACGAGAATAGTGTATGATGCGTACATGACGACTGCCAAGTTGAAAATCGTGGCAAACACAAATAGATCCACACCCATCATCCAGTGTACATTTGTTATCGGATTTGGGTCCTTGAGGTCGATGAGATTGAGGTTATCAACCACTTCACTGCCATACATGTTGGTGTATCTGTAGTCATGGTTGCGAATTTCTTCTGCCAAGATGTACCTCATCTCCATGTACCTGGCCTGAGTGCCATGTACAAGAATGAGCGCACGAAACCCACAATGACCATCTGGAATGGGGTCGTGAAATAAACAGTAACGATCTCGAACAATCACCGGTAGCCGATTATCGTGTGTGTATTGTGTTTGGCTGCTGCTGGTTGGGTACTCTATTGTGAGAGAACTACAAATCAGTTTGGCTAAAATTTTCAAGTACACGTAATATATGCACTGATATTGAAATGATTACATGTGCATACCAATATAATGACCGTCCGGACCAGGTTCGTCGAATGTGTGCTCATCTGAAGGACACCCATCTGTTTGGGTCCTTGTGGACTTAGTCTTGGCCGACTTTGTGGACCCTAATGTCGTGCTCCTGGACTTAGTTTTCATGTTCTTCTTGAGTCCGTGCAACGGGTTCTTCTCCCACCAAGACGACTTTCATCCTGTTGATTTTTTCATCGGTCTTCCTTTTTTTGTTTCGTTCACCGCCAACTGGGTGGAGGCCGCGAAACAACCCAGTGGCTACTTTGCTAGTAGCCTCTGGCCCTCTGCATACAGCCTCTTTGGCCAAGGTGAATAAGTGTTGTTGCATTGCATTCTCTACGGGTATATAGTCTTCAACATTGGGTGGGTTCTCATAGTCCAAAGATCGCCAAAAGACATGCAGCTCACCCGGGTATATCTCTCTATCTGATGCTCTAGCCACCTTAACCTGGAATCCACACTTCAGACCATGTGTGACAGGATAATGACATGGACATCGTCTCTTCACGCTATCTTCCTCATCTTTCATTAGTATAATTGCCTTTACGCTGACCTGTCTTCGCAAGTATGTAAATGGTGAGCCGTCGGATGCTGAAAGTTTTTTCTGTCTAGAATTTTCCAACATCCTCCTCACTTCAATGAGCTGATTTTCAATGAATCGGTGGTTTGCTTGCCATACCGTGTCGATAGAACCACGGGAATTCCGAAGGTACGTCTTGAATGATGAATGAGATGACTCAACCCTGTTTGAGATCGTGTTACCTAGGTGGAATACATGCTTCATATAACAAACTGCCCACTTCTGTCTGTGCCCCTACCACTCATGCAGTATGTAACCCACCATGCGTTGGTCCTTGTCGTTCCAAACCGTTCTAAAGTTTCACATGGCAGCGTAAAGACCTTCTTCGGACCATGAATAAAGCATAGGTTCCCAATGGTCTTCATAGTCCTTCACGACAGCATCTAGGTTATTCAATAGCTTCATAAACTGTCCCTTCACATTATTCTCCGCGTGCCACACACATAACATATGTGGGGCGTTTGGGAAGACCACAAGAATTGTAACGAGTAGTCCACCTTCTTTGTCGGTGATGATAGTTGTGGGCTCCCGTGGACCAAGCAATTACTTTATGCCCAATGTAGTCATAAGCGCGATTCTACCTAGAAGCGGAATAGGGGTAAAATCGTAAAGCGTAGAATTAAAGTGTAAAAACGTAAGTTTTTGACGCATGCTGTAAAGTAACTAAAAATCTGTTAAGTACGACATATATACTATATAAAAAAATATGAGTGCACATAATTTAGATAAGTTTATAAATACCTGCAATCCATGCATAAAGTAGAACAACTTATAGACTCTTAATAATAGGTTCATAAACATAAATCTTAACAATAAGCCACTGTCCCCTCTATGATAATGAATTAGGGAAGAACCTAGCTAGTGAATTAGATTACTCTATTGAAACTAAGAATGCATCCAAGTACCTGGTATGTACCTTTAATCTCAAATGTATCATATTATTGGTAATTTACCTTTAATTTCATGAAAAGAATAGCTATTTAGTGAACTAAAAGCGTAAAGCGTTTTGGTGAACTAGAAGCGTAAAAGCGTAAGCTTTTTAAGGTTTAAAGCGCAATTTTGTTCGATTTTATACACTAAAGTTTTTATATGAAAACGAAAGCATTTTGCTGACCTAAAAACATAAAATCGTAAGTTTTTAAGTTTTAAAGCACGATTTTGACTGCATTTATGCCCTCCAACAACCACTTATATGACTCTTTTGTCTCAACCGCCATAAGAGCACAACATATGTTGAAATTCTTCCCCACGGGAGTAACACCTACGACCTCCACCGATGGACACTTGTAGGCATTGGTATTGTAGGTGGCGTTTATCAGAATGACATACCACCAAGCCTTCAACATTTGGATGGATGTCGGATGTGCGAAGAAAATATTGGTGAGCACGTTGTTATCATCTTTCAAATACTGAATATGGTAGCCCTCATCTTCTGCTGCTTGCAACGTGTACTGGATTGCATTCATCTCACCCATTTGTTCTCTCCTGATCTTGGACCCTTGGTTGTAATACTGTCTGATGTTGGAATAACTGTGAAACCCCTTCTGATCGTTCATCGTCTTCTTTTGATACGCTAGAGCTACACCTGGATATCTCGTATTCTTTATTTGCTCTTTATCTTGCTCACTGAATTCTACGTTCTAACGATGCCCTTCAGGATAAAGCATCTTCTCGTGGGTGTGATACCCTCGCCATAGTCTGGTTTCCTTTTCCAACACCCTTTGTATCAGCCAGAATGTCGACCCATGAGCATTATCCTCATCAACTAGCAATTCTATAATTTTGACCATGAACATGCAATCAGCACCTTTGGTGCTAGTAGTCCACGTCTCTCCTTCGTCGGATCCGGTTTGTATGACTTCTTCTTCCTACTGGATCGATCACAATACATATAACATTAACCGAAGATTCTCCCACTTTTGTTTTCTCTTGGCTTATTCGAACCCTGTACTAGAAAGAAACCATATTGCTTCGCGATGTTTTTTCCTCTCGCAGCAATGTCTACATTAGGATAGCGAACGTTGTTGATGAAACACCCCGTGTATTCATCTCCCTGGTTAAACTCATGCGCCATGTCTACCTACAGTTACAAATGAACAAATCTTTAGAGTCATTCTCAAACCAGTGTTAATACAATTAATTCATAAAATCCTAAGTTATGAACTTTAAACCATAATCATTAATTCAATACTTAATACAAATTAAATATACACTAAACTCTAATTCAAAACTTTATATAAACTAAATAAATCATCAATAATAAATTATGAACTTCAAACACTAAACCATAATTCAATACTAATTACAAATTAAATATACACTAATCCCTAATTATACACTTAACTAAATATGAACTAAATACATCATAAACACTAAATACTGAACTTTGAACCCTAACAACATAATCAATACTAAATACAAATTTATTATACACTACTCATAATCCAATACTTAAAAAAAATATGAACTAAATATATCATAAACCTTTAATTATAAACTTCAAACCATCAACACTAATTCAGTACAACATATAAATTAAATTGTAATACCATAATTTACAAAAATTGATATATTAATTTTCAGCAACTATAAATCAATTATAATCAAAATATAAAAAAATACAAATTCAACATTGTACGAAACAAGTTTTCAGACCCTCAAGACCGGTACGAAAAACGTTTTCTGACCAACCTGCATGGTACGAAGAGGATATTTGGAGAGGATTGTATGATACGAAAAAAGCTTTCTCCTCGGTACGAAGGCCGACTTCGTACCGAGCAGTTTGGTCCGAAAGCCTTCTTCAAATTCCTCTATGTTGAATCCACTATTGTTTTTTGGATAATGTCTATTTTTTATACAAACCTTTTTCAAATTCTTTTATATTATCCAAATCTATCGAAATACTAAGAATTATCCAAATGTTGAATTTCAATTAGCAATTTTGTTAGTAACATTGACTTGGCAACATAATACTGACTTGAAAGTGACACATGAAAGTCAATATTTTTAGTATTTTAACCATAAAAAGTTATAAAATTATTAATGATAACGTAAAAAAGGCTAGTATTTTAATACATTACAAATTTTTTTGATTAATTAATAACATTTTAATAGATTTGGATAATATCAAAGAATATGAAAAGCCTTGAATAAAAATACACATTACTTTCTTTTTACATTATTATAAAAAATTCCTTAGCTTTGCGACCCAGAGGCCCATAGCCCATTTTGGGCCTGGGCTGATTCCATCCGGTCAAACAAACACACCGCCGTCCAACTCTCTCTCTCTCTGTCTCTGCCCCTTCTTAAATCCTCCTCGTAATCGTAACTATTCCTTTGGCGCCCTTTTCCTTCCTTCTCTCTCCCAAAACCTCCACCACCGCCCGCTCTGTTCTTTCTCTCTCTCTCTCTGTCGGCCTCCTCATGCCTCGGCGGTCGGCAAATTGCTGCTATCAAATTAAAAGCGCAGTTTAAAGAAAAGGCAAAATACATTTGTATAGCCATAACTTTCACGTTTTTGACAAATATAGCCATATCTATTCGAAAACACGAAATAGCCAAGAAAATGAATGGTCGTGTGACAAATCTAGCCATTTCCGTTAGAAATTTTAACGGTGTTAGAAACTCCGTTAGTTAGGTTAACGTTAGGCTGACTAGGATCCCAAATCATCGCACACATCAACGACCAGTCAGCGTATCATTGCCACGTCATTTTAAATTATTTAAATAATTAGTTTTGAAATATTAAAATAATTAATTTTGAAATAAAAAAAAATCACTAATTTTCCCCCTTCCCTACCGATTCAACTAGCATCAACCCCAGACACTCCCCGAGATTGCGGATTGGGCGAGGACGGTTTCAGGGAGGACGTTGGATTCGCCGCCGCAGAGGGAGATGAAGCGGGTGTAGATCGAGGTCCCGGCCTTGTACGCGAGCTGCTGGTAGAGGATGCTTCGGGTTAAGGCGAGGAACGGCGTGTGGAATGTGTCGAAGGTTGGGGCTGGGTAGAGATCGATTAGGGAGCTCAAGAGAGGATCCGACTGACGGAGGTGGCGAATCGGGATGTCGACCTCTCCGTCGCAGGATAGGGATCTTGCGATTATCCTCGGCCCGACTACCAGAGCGCGCTGCTGATTCGAAGCCTTGGTTCTCGAGGATTTCGCGGTGGCGGTTCTAGCGGCCGGGGTGGCAGTGGCGGTATTGACTTGGTCGGCAGCGGCGGTGGTCGGAGTGGCTTCCTCCGGGGAGAGCTTGCGAATTTTGCGGGGGCGAGAGGGGATTTTGGCGAGAGGGGAGGAGGCGGAGTGAGGAGGCGGAGGAGGGACGGCGGTGAGTTCAGTTGGCAGAAGAGTGACGGTGGCGACGGAGACAGTCGCGGTCTCGATTGGGGCGACGGAGGTGGGGGAATTCGATTGGGGTTGGGACTCCGACGGAGTCTGAGTTTGAGACTGGGATTGGGATGGAGGTTGAGGTTGAGGTTGAGGTTGGGTTTGTTCGCCCATGTGTGACGGAAGAAATCGGGAGAGGAAGCAAAGCTCAACCGATTGATGGCGGACCACGACGATGATGATGTGAGCGACAAAGGCATTAAGGACGATGCGACTTCGAAGAACGACTGTGACGGCGTCGAGGATCTGCTTCGCACGCGCTAGCTCCGTCGCCGCTAGCTCTCGCCCCCTGCTTCCGTCAACAACAGTTCCAAAATCGCAGACAAAGCCCCGCTGGTGATGGCGTCTACCCCAATCTGAACCCCAACTCCCCTATTGAATACAATGACGACGGATCTACTGGCGAAGACTCTGGATTCAGAAGAGGAAGACGATTAATCGTGTTCCGTTCGCGTTTCCACCGATTTGGTTCTGGATCTGGATTTTGGATCCGGGAAGAATACGGCGAGGCAAGCTACGTCATTCAGGAAAAACCTGGTGGCTTCTAACTCTACTTACGCCAATCGTCGTCAAAGGAAGCACAAGAAGGTTTCGTCGGAGTATTTGGAGCTCGGTGATGGAAGGGTTCTGGGGCAAGAGGAAGATGAACAGGTTTGGGCGTTTTGCAGGGTTTCCATTTATTATTTTTCAGTTTTAATTTTTAAAGATAAATCCAGCCTTTCCTTTTTGTTTTTATTTATCTGTTAATCCACATAGATTGGTGGGGACGAAATTTTGTCAACTCAGCTATTCCGTCAGTCCAGTCATACTGTTAACTGACACCGTTAAATAGATGGACGGAAATGGCTATTTTGGGTTTTCCGATAGTTGTGGTTATATTTGTCACAAACGTCAAAGTTATGGCTATGTAAGTGTATTTTGCCTAAAGAAAAAGAAGAAAAGCCGTAACAATTAGTTGGTTCATTGTTTGTTGTCGTGTCGTGTTGGAAGAGGAGTTCCAGTTTCCAGGTGCCATGACGCGCCACGTATTGCTTTCCAGGAGCACTGACCATTTCTTGGAAAATTATTAGTCAATGACTTCCGTCTCAAGCAACTGGATCGGATACTTAACATCTCTAGCTTAGCTTAATTACGTTGTCTAATTGCATCATTAAGCGAGACATAACCCGGAGTTGGAACCGAGTTAACTTTTAGCTTAACACCAAAAATACACGTCCATCTGAGATATTATAAGCTAACAATCATTGGGATATGCATCAAACATCATCACCACGTAGATGCAATTATGGACCCAATCCAAAAGCCCAAAACCAGAAAAAAAGGAAAAAAGAAAAAGAACAATTGATAAAATAAAGTATCACCGTCCAATTAAAAGTCTACTTTATTCATCTAGATTATCTATTTATATAAATAAAAAGTCCTCTTTATTTATTGTCTTGTTGTGTCTCTATCTGATTATCACATTCATATTTTTTTTGGGTACTAATCACAGGGCACTCATACATACCTAACCTAATTCAGATTATAAAATTGGTATTGGTATGGCGAAGGACGAATGTAACCATCTTCTTGTGCTTTTATAATAGTATAGTATTTTAAAAGTATTTGATTTAAGTCGGGTGAATTTCATAATATTTTTCGTAACTTCATTTCGTACATAACGATATTTTTATAATAATATTTATTTGTAGTCACTAAAACTAACCACATTAACAAACATGATGATCAAGACGTACATCAACGTGTTACAAATTTTCAAACATGAAATTAACCTATATTATAATGTGAAAAAGAAATGCAAACAAGGACAAGTCGAAGGTGGAAAACCAATATTCATAAAATGAAAATGGCAAAAAAAAAAAAAGGGAAGATTGTTATTAAAAGGACAAAAATAAAGGGAAATTGGAGGGGAAAGAAAGAAAGTGCGTGGAAGGCGAACCAGAATATGCCATATAGCCATGGTTTTTGTTCCACTCATAAACATTCTGAGATTGCGGTTGGCAGGGCAACGCAGCTGCTTTGGTCGGTCCTTAAATCTAATTGTACCTCCCTTTTGTTAACAAAATTCATTTCTTTCTCCCCTTTTCCCCCAAATTTCTCTCTCGCATTCTTGCTCGCCCTGATCCTCGCCTCCTCTTATCTTTCAGGTACTTCCGCGCCATTACTTGCTTTTCCTTTGATTTTTTTTTCTTTCGCCGGAGATGGGTTAGTTAGCTTCTTCCATTGTTAGCGATTTCCAGCAATGGGTAGGGGCCAAGTTCGAAATTTCCCGGCTGGATTGTGTACATGTTTGAATATTTTTGTTTGAGAACCCTAAAGCTGCTCTGCTTCGATGCTGGGAAGATGATGAATACCGTAGCCCCGTTATGCAATTACTTCAATGGTAGTTTTCCGTTTTGGGTTTTGCAGAGTGTTTAGACGACGGCAATAGGGGTTGTGTATTGTAATGCTGGGGGTTTAATCAGGGAAGCAAGCACGGTTTTCGTATTCTCTGTTTGCTTTAGCCTTGTTCTTCCTGAATGTGGGATTTCTTTTTTTTATGTTTCGGATGCATGAATGTATTTATGTGTTTTTAGCCGGGAGTTCATGAATTTGTCTGTGTAATTCAGGCAAATTCATGAATTTGTGTGTATATTTAACCAATTTCCTTGGTTTGTTCTTTATTGGTCTTCCATTGCAGCATTCTGGAGCCGGTCTCTGTGGTGATTTTGGCGCTCACCAGAGTCTGGCTTCCAGAAAATCCTTACCCCCCCAAAACCTTGTTGTAGTTACAAGATTGGCTGATGGGCAAGGACAAGCATTCTTTAGGTTTGTTGGATACCTTAAGAATGGAGAGGGTGAGGACCATCTTCACGCATACATACCCTTATCCGCATGAGCACTCGAGGCACGCCATCATTGCGGTGGTGGTGGGTTGCCTTTTCTTTATATCTTCAGATAACATGCATACCCTTATAGCGAAGCTGGACAATAATGTCAAATGGTGGTCCATGTATGCCTGCCTGCTCGGTTTCTTCTATTTCTTCACGTCACCCTTCTTAGGGAAGACAATCAAACCTAGCTATTCAAATTTCAGTTGGTGGTAAGTGCTGCCTAGCTCTAACACCTTTTGCTAAGTGCTAATTGTATATGGGTAGTAATGAGTTTTTCGGTATTTACTTCGGCAGGTATACGGCTTGGATTTTAGTTGCAGCCCTATATCATCTCCCTAGTTTTCAGTCAATGGGAGTAGATATGAGGATGAATTTGTCCTTGTTCATGACTATATATGTGTCCTCGATCGTGTTTCTTCTTGTATTCCACATTATATTTCTTGGACTATGGCATCTCGGTCTTGTTTCTCGTGTTGCTGCAAAACAGCCAGAGATATTGACCATCTTCCAAAATTGCGCCGTAAGACTTTCTCCCATAATTTTCTTTGCGTTCAATTGTATTGGCTTGTGTTAGGATAACACCCTGATCCTTTTTTTTTTTTTTGCTTTGTCATTTGTTGCATAGGTTCTCAGCGTAGCCTGCTGTGTGTTTTATAGCCATTGTGGAAACCAGGCTTTGATGAAAGATAGACCCCTTCAGAGAAGCCTTTCTAGTTGGTTTCCTTTTAGGAAGAAGGGAGAGATCAATACCTGGCTAGCTAAATTTATCCGCATGAACGAATTAAAAGACCAGGTCTGCTCGTCTTGGTTTGCACCTGTTGGATCTGCAAGTGATTATCCACTTTTATCAAAATGGGTTCTCTATGGAGAGGTAGATAAACATTCTATTGTCGGAGTTTTTTGTTGACATGATTTCTGTGATCTGCTGTTTTACTTACTTTCACTTCATTTCTTCATTTTGTAGATAGGTTGCAGCGGGGATGAATGTGCAGCCTCATCTGATAATATTTCTCCTATATATTCATTGTGGGCTACCTTTATTGGTCTTTATATCGCTAACTATGTGGTGGAAAGGTCAACTGGGTGAGTGCTGATTGTTTTCCTTGTTTCGGTTAGTAGGTTTCTCTCCGTTGGTTACACTTGACATAGACAGTATCATAGTCTTTTTCCAAAAAAACATTAATACAAATATCTGAACACTTTGTATGGACAGGTGGGCTCTTACTCACCCTTTGTCAGTTAAAGAGTATGAGAATTTAAAGAAGAAGCAGATGACCCCAGACTTTCTGGATATGGTTCCTTGGTATTCAGGGTATGTTCACATATTATCTATTTCCCTGGCATCGGTTTTCTTTGATGTGACAACATCTCATCATTCAAAAAGATTTTTGAATTTTTTTTATCCTTACTGTGCTAGTGAACTACATGTTGCAGAACCTCTGCTGATTTATTCAAGACACTGTTTGACCTTTTGGTATCAGTAACTGTATTTGTCGGTCGTTTTGACATGCGCATGATGCAGGTACGTTAGCAAATTGCCTAATCATACATTGATAATTATGTTTCTAGAAATGCAGCCTTTTAGTAACTTGGAAGAGCAATAATTTTATTAAGCTCCCCCCCCCCCCCCCCCCCCCCCCTTGTTTCTGAGAACCACTCTTATTGTAGCTTCAATATGTGTGTTTTCATGGTCTTAAGGGCTTCTTGAGATTAAAGAGATCACTCTTGACAAGCCCCTCCATATGTGCAAAGCTTTTTGAACATATGTACCGTGTCAGGATAAGTTAATGAATGCATTTAACTCCTCTCCCTATTGTCAACTTATGGTTGGTACTGAAAGGCCATGCATAATATTCTCTTTGGGTTGTAAAAATTATCTTGTTTGCATGAAGAGTGAGATATCCATTTTCTTGCAATATCAGGCAGCAATGAACAAGGTGCAAGATGGAGTTAAATCAGACCATTTCTATGATCATCTTAGCAAACAAGACGATCTGTGGTTTGACTTCATGGCTGATACAGGTGATGGTGGGAACTCAACCTACAGTGTTGCACGCTTACTTGCTCAACCGTCTCTTAGGGTTAGCACAGGTGATTCTGTGCTCTCTCTGCCCAGAGCAAAGTTACTTATTGTGGGAGGGGATCTTGCGTAAGTTAATTGTACTTTCTGATGCTGAAATTTTGAGAATGATTGAATTAGCCATTATTTTGTATTTCATTTTCTAATTATAAGGGTAACTTCTTATCATCCGGTTCGAATTTGTGTTATATAGCTTATTTCAATTTCACTGATGATCTAGTGATTTCATTGCAGATATCCTAATCCTTCGGCATTCACATACCAAAGGCGCCTCTTTTGTCCCTTTGAGTATGCTCTGCAGCCACCTTCCTGGTACAAAGAGGATCAAGTTGCAGTGCACAAGCCTGAGTTACCCCATGGGGTGTCTGAACTTAAACAGTATGACGGACCTCAATGTTTTGTCATTCCTGGAAACCATGGTGAGTATTTATTTGTTACCTGATTAAACTACTTTTGTAGAAGGTTTTCAGAGCTAGTTCATAGTGCTTCTATGTTCACCATTACAGATTGGTTCGATGGGCTTCATACTTTCATGAGGTACATATGTCATAAAAGCTGGCTGGGTGGATGGTTTATGCCCCAGAAAAAGAGTTATTTCGCTTTGCAACTTCCTAAAGGGTGGTGGGTTTTTGGTCTCGATCTTGCACTCCATAATGATATTGACGTGTACCAGTTCAAATTCTTTACAGAAGTAGTGAAAGAGAAGGTCTGTCTTCTTTTCCTTGTCCATTTGAATATATTGTGCTGCTAAATTATGTAAGTGTACGAGCATGATAGTGTCAGGTTTAGATAATTCATGGTTCATTTGACATCAGAATAAATATCTTCCCCTGAAATCTTCTTGTGCAAGCAGCTTTTGTATTTCCCGTGTTCAAGAGTTCCTTTACATGGCATTTCTCTCCTCTCTCCGTATAGGGAAAATTGCACATCGAGTTTCTTTCTAGACTCAGCCTTGGGTCTTTTCTGTAAAAAAATTAGGCATGTCTGCAGGAGATCTCCACCATCATGTGTTACTTCCTAGTTCTTGAAATGGTGTGCCACGTGATGTTTGTAGTTCATTATTACCTATATCAGTAGCATAGATGTTTTGCAGTCGGCAAAGGGTATTAGCTTTTATAGACTTGTGCCTCTGGTGGAACCTATCTATTGCTCTCTATTTCTGTTTTCCAGTTCCCTTTCTGATCAACTGATGATTATGCACATTGGTACTCCCTCAATTAGGTAGGAGAAAATGACTCTGTGATCATCATTACCCATGAACCAAATTGGCTGCTTGATTGGTACTGGAATGATGTTTCTGGGAAGAATGTCACACATCTTGTACATGACTATCTGAAAGGAAGGTGCAAGCTTCGGATGGCCGGAGATTTGCATCATTACATGCGTCATTCACATGTACCTTCAGATGGCCCAGTTGATGTGCAGCATCTAATTGTAAATGGCTGTGGTGGTGCTTTTTTACACCCCACCCATGTCTTTGGTGGCTTCAAGAAAGCATATGGAGCTACCTATGATACCAAGGCCGCTTATCCATCTCTAGAAGATTCTGGCAGGGTAAATAAGTCCCTCAAAATCTTCTCTTCATGCATCCCTTTGAGTCAACTTTGTTTCTTGATTCTATCGTTGGTATCACACAGATTGCTTTGGGGAATATTTTGAAGTTCCGTAAGAAGAACTGGCAATTCGATTTCATTGGCGGCATTTTGTACTTTCTGCTGGGGTTTTCCATGTTCCCTCAGGTAATCAGAACATTACATGGCCATTCTCCTACCATCTCGCGTATCATAATGTTTACTACCATAAATTAGTATTCGTATGCCATTTTGCTGTATGGATGGACTGACTATATTAATCTCTTCTTCATGTCTAGTGTAACCTTGACGTCATTTTGCAAAGTGATTCATTTTCGGGCCACATATGGAGTTTCTTTGGCACAGTTTGGAATGAATTTCTCTACTTGCTACAACACTCTCATGTATCCTTGCTTGGTGCTCTGGGATTGCTGATAGCAGCAGTTACATTTGTCCCATCAAAGATGTCATGGAAGAAACGTGCCATGATTGGAATTCTTCATTTCTCTGCACATCTTGCATCAGCCCTTGTCCTCATGTTGCTCTTGGAACTTGGTATCGAGACATGCATTCGTCATAACTTACTCGCTACATCAGGCATGATCTCTCTCGCTCTCTCTCACTGCCTACCCTACTCATGGCTTCGGTTGAATTGGCTTTTTTTAGTAGCTTCTTTCTGACTCGGGATCCTTTTCTCCCCTTAGGATACCACACTTTATACGAGTGGTACAGAGCAGTGGAGAGAGAACACTTTCCTGACCCCACCGGTCTTCGAGATAGGATAGAACAATGGACGCTCGGGCTTTACCCTGCATGCATAAAGTACTTGATGTCTGCTTTTGATGTTCCTGAGGTCATGGCTGTCACACGTAGTAATATATGCAAGAATGGTGCCGAAGCACTGTCGAGAGGAGGTGCAATCATTTACTATGCTTCCGTCTTCCTCTACTTCTGGGTCTTCTCGACACCAATCGTCTCATTCGTGTTCGGAAGTTACTTGTACATTTGCATTAATTGGCTTCAGATTCACTTCGATGAAGCCTTCTCTTCCCTTCGTATTGCAAATTACAAGTCGTTTACCAGATTACACATCGACAGAGCTGGGGATCTCGAAATATTCACTCTTGCGGTCGACAAGGTACTAAAAATCTCCATTTTATTCAAACAATGCCTTGATACATGATCAATTGGAACCATGCTACGGAAAATTAAACCTTCTTCCGTCGTAATGCAGGTCCCCAAGGAGTGGCAGCTAGATCCACATTGGGATGCAGAGCCAAGGCAGGCACAGCAGATGAGCCATCACCGGAAGTACCCTAGTAAATGGAGCGCTGCGGCTTACCAACAGGATCCGGTGAATTCGGTCAAGATAGTTGACCATTTCGTGATTAGAAGGACAGAGGAAGTACCAGGGGTAGGAGCAGCAGCAACTAACGGATCAGTCTCTCCCTGATCTCTTGTTGATCTAGATTTTGCTGTATGTTGTAACATCATTAATCTTAGAAGCACAGAACCAGGAAAGAGAATCGCGGCAGAGAATTTGAAAGTTAGTTCTCCACTAACCCTTCAGCCTTCACCTCTTCCTGGGTTTATGAACTCTGTATATATGTAACTTACTATTCTATCTCTCAGCTAATTAGAGTCGACGCCAAGATACAATGCTCTTCATGGTTAGAATTGACAGTCTTGCTCGACACATGGTAGTGAAGAATTGGAAGAAATGGAGATTGATTCATCTTCTGATGCTACTTTAACTAATCATGTTTCCAGAAACAATTGAGAACAAGGGTGGGGGAAAACCCCCCAGCTAAATGTGAAACAAGAAAAGAACTTTCTGAAACTGAGGCAGTAGCCAGGGGGGGTTATTTTTATCTACACCTGATCAAAAAGAAAAGTGAAAACAACCTACATCTCTCCGTAATCCTGATGAAGAAAGGATTCGTATGGCGTTCCTTTCAAGACCGTCTGGACTTCTTCGAAGTTTGCTATCTGTTCTGCTAATGTTCCGCTGTGTATCTTAATCTGACGGCTCGTTAGTTCTCTGTAGGGCAATCCGAGAAAGTCCTGCACCTCTTTCAGTTTCTGCAGAAGAAGCGAAACTGGTTAAAATGTTCAACTTGACAATAGATGATACACAGGCTTATTGTTTTCGCTTACTGTTCTATTTCCAACGACATCTTCATAGTAGAGGACGATGTGGCGGGTGGATTTGAAGTACCCAATCGCCCTCGCAGCTCTACTGTCGACACTCTTTAGCTCTGCCAACAATGTCGAGGCGTTCAACGATGGCTTGTACTTGGCCAGAACTTTGGCCTGCGAGAAATTATGTTCTTATGATACTGTACCGAAGATCAAATTGACGAGATTAACGATTTAAGAAGAATACCTCGGCGACTGAATGGACATGAGACTTGTGGGTACCATTCAAAGGTTTCTTGCTCTTATCATAGGAATTGGCCAGCACAGATATCAACCTCCGAATCAGGTTCCTCCTGAACAGGAAAATTGCATGAACTCCATTCCTGTTGAAGTAGTCCACTATCCCTTCATGATGTTCCAACACCCCCTGCATCCACAAAGCGATGACGTTTCATTCGCAGATTAATTTTTATTCCCATTTCTTGCCCTGCAGATTTTGTTAAACAAAGCCTCTTTACCTGATTAAGCATCCATTTGAATCCAACAGCAGCATTACACTCGTTCTTGGAAGCACTACTGAACCAATCCAGATTGTAAACTCTGTCCAGCACATTAACAATGGCCGTAACATTCGCCCTTCGATCTTTCTTCCCGAAGATCTCACCATTGGAGCTGACATTGATGTGGCTGTTCATCAACGTCTCGAACCACCCGCTCCCCGATCTCTGCATCGACAGGATCGCGAAGTACCTCACCGGATTGCACACGCATTCCTCCCTGCACATAGCGAAATCGGTCACAACCCGAAAAATGCTCTGTTTTTCCCCCTCTTTTTTGTGCGTGTGATGATGATTATTATGGTACCTGCTAAACGTGACAGGATTCGGGTAGTGGACCAAAGGGATCTCCCATTGTTCAATGCCGGAAGAGTTGCAGAGCTGGCGTACGACTTTGACGTCGAGGAATTTGTTGCTGGTGGTGCTGCCGCCATTGTTGGTGTTGATCTGTTTTAAGCATATGAAGCAAATGTAGACTCCACAGACCATGGCAAATGCCAGCACCACGAGTCTTGGCAGCAATGGGGATTTCTTAGGAGCTTTGATGACTAATGAATCCTGCAAATAACCAATTAATTAATACCCAGATGATGAAACTCGCTCAGCAATCATTAAAAGCATTGGACAAAAGGGGGAAAGAAGGAAGAGATGAATGATTGATTACATTGGCTTCCATCTATAACTATGCTCCATTAAGGATTGAGGAGAAGGAAAAAAAGGGAAGGGAAGTGGAGACAGGGGAAGTTTAATTAAGAGTATTTTGAGGGGAGAGATTAGATGAGAAAAACTAGGCAATAGAAATGGTCAGAGTGTAAGGTGCCCACTTGACAAAATCAATGGAGAAAGGAAGAAAACCCCATTTGATTTCATTTTTGTGCCTTAATATCTGTGCTGTGTAATTAAAGCTTGAAACCCAGACAAACCATTTCTTTTTTTCTAATTGGAAAGAGGGAAAAGAGAAAATCTTGGTAGCTATTTCACTGGGACGCAAAACTAGAAAACCTGTTTCAGAAACAGAGCATGAAAACCGGGCTTTGTTTATCAGAGAGGAATTGATGGATCAGGTGAGGAAATGAGAACCCACCTGGCTTAACATACAGATGAATTCAGCCATTGGCGCCTTTGAAGCTCAGAAGGAAGCTCCAAGGACAATTACACGGGGAAGTAACTCTTCTTGTTTCATGTCTTCTTGTTCTTCATCTTTTCAGTAACACCAAAAGGGGAGTCCAAAGGTTTTCAAACTTGAAAAGGCTGATAACCGACTTCAAACACTCATGCTTAATTAATTATTGTTATTATTGAATCCAGAAGGTTGAGGGAGCTAATACAATTCAAAACTACCCACTTCTTTACTAAGCGGAAATAATAGGATAATAATACGGCGTTCATATATAGCGTTCATTTTGTGATTGATCGTATATGTATCGTATTACAACATCTGATTGATAATATTTGTGCAAATTGTTTGAATGACAGACTGATATTGTTTATGTAAGAAGAAGCCAAAATTTAAAGTGAGAAAAGAGTGCAAATAACAAATTGCAACATATTACTATTTACTACCATTGAAACGTGCCATACGAAAAGATGGAACACTTTCTTTAGTTTTGAATTTTTGCAAAGATACTAAGCTAATCATTATGATTACCTTTTTCTTTCTTTTTGTGACAAAATCAAATGACTGTCTGGTATATGAACTATTCATTTCAGTTAGTTCAAATGGAGGAATCATAATTAGGAATCATGAATGTCTATGCTTTTAATGACACTTTAACGATCACAAAGTCTTCTTTTGGGAATGACTTAATGAATTACATGGTTAACTTTAATCAGAAACATGCTGGACAATTATTTGAACACAAACAAACAGCGAACATGTTTTTGGGGGATAGGATATGATAGTAAAAGACAGTACACCAAACGTTTGACTTGTGCGGGCTTGCACTATCACACCACCGACTTGGCCTCATTTAATACAGTAGTGCCTGCCTTTCATTTGCATATCGTATGCTGTGCAGCTTTGTGGGTTTCCATCTTTTCTTTCCTTGGTCCAACTTTGCTAGCTTGCACCATTGTTTGTCAGCGTGGGACATGGGAAATCAAGACGTGGGTATTGGGTTGCTTTACAGTGAGAATGAAGCTGTGTGTTTGTTTATTGTTATTCATTTCCTGGGTTTTGCAATCAGCATATGCCAGAAATTGCTTGCAGTCTGAGAGGAGCGACAGAGGAAGTGCTTGCCGGGGGAGTGAAGTAAGGGTCAGGCTTTTGGGCCCGTATAGACAAGCCCAGTTACCCTAAATATAATCCGGTGTGCCGTATTGGGTTTTGCCGTTTGGGCTTTGTTGGGTTCACTTGCTTATGCGTTTTGGGCTTTGTATTTTGGTGGGCCTGGATCGTTTTAGTCCATGGTTGTACTTCCTTCATGGGTCATTGATCCAAGGTCTACATTAGCCAAAAAGACATTAGAATGATGATGGGAAAGCAAAATGTGATTGCAAGTGTTGATTATGATGCTCATGATGGTTGGTTCGAGGGAAGAAGTACCTGTCATGTCTTTCGATGATTTCTTGGATGAAGTGTATTGTTACATGTAACGAAGATGTCCATTGTTACGATTGTTGCGATTTCACCTGCGGGATTATGAAGCACAGCTGCAGTGGTGATGATCATTGAAGAAGGAAGAAGAAGATCCTGCAGCTGTTAACAAAATGCAGATGCAGGGTCAGTCGGGTCGGGCTTCCTTTCACCCGACCGACCGACTCAGCTATGGAAACCAGTGAATAAATAAGAGACCAAACGGCGTCGTTCCACCCACTCATTTGAAATATGTAATTAGCGCTAGTAGTTAGTTTCTTTTAGCTGTTAATCTACAGTAGAACACTCTGCTTTTGTAATTAGTTCTTGGTATATATTGATCAATGGAAAATGGAGAAAGGCATCCGCCGATTCCCACAATCTCGGCTTCTCTTCTTCTCTGAAACCCTAGCACTACCGCAGCTAGGTCACAAACATTCTCATGGTATCAGAGCCTGGTTGGCTCATACCAGCTTGACTTTTGTTCTACCCTTGTTTTCTTCTTTCTCGCCTTCTTCTGACGCGCCGCCATGGCCGACGGAACTTCAAGTGAAAGGAACGACGGTAAAGACAAGGAGACCTCTTCACCACGCTACGAGGATCCTTATTCCAACCCATTCTACCTTGCCCATAGTGGCAATTCATTTTTACATGTCACTAGCTTCAGGTTAACAAATGATAACTATCTGCTGTGGAGCGAATCCATGGAAGTCGCTCTCAGGACGAAGAACAATCTAGGGTTCATCGCAGGCACAATCGAGGTACCTCTTGTTACTGATCCAAGTTATGGGACCTGGGATCGCGTTAATGGTACTGTTGTCTGTTGGCTTAGAAACTCTGTGTCTGAAAATATTGTCCCTAGTCTGCGTAATATCAAGGTTGCATATGAGGCTTGGACTTACTTGAAGGGTAAGTTTAGTCAAGGGGATTCAGTCCGAATTGCAAACTTACAGGAGAAAATTGACCTGGTTAAGCAGGGAAATGAATCGATTCGAGAGTATCACACTAATTTGAAGCTTTGTTGGGATGAACTTGACAACTGCCTTCCTATTCCCTACTGTGATTGTGCATCTCGCACCTATGAGACAGTTGTGATGTACCAAGGTAGGGGATGGTTTATTAGGTTTTTGATTGGATTGAATGAGAAATATCAGCAGATCAAGACTCAGATGCTCATGTTAGATCCACTTCCAGATTTGGATAGTGTGTACCGTTCTGTGGTTCACCTGGAAAGGCAGCTTAATGGGGCTAAAGCTAATGCAGGCAAGTCAGAAGAGGTTATTGCACTAGCCACAACATTAGCAGCCTCTAGATCTCAATATAACCAGCCTAGAGATAAGGGACCTGCTGACTATGGACAATCAAATGGGTTGTTCCAGGGGCGGAGCTAGGATTCGGTGTTCGGGGGGGGGGGGGCCGGAATATTTTATTATGTTACTTCAAAAAACGATAAAAATTAACAAAATTTATTTTAATATTATTATTATTATCGCATTTTTAGATTATTAGAGTTACTCGAAATAAAATTTATAGTGTTGTTTATTTTATGTAGACAAAATTAAATATGTCATATCCGTAAGTTTTTTCT